CTTAGGTCCAACTTCACTAAACACAAAGACAAGACACATATAACGGATAAACATAACGCCATTTATATCTTCCCGTGCAAAAACTGTCCGGATAAGTACATTGGGCAAACTTCTAAAAAGATTCAGACAAGGCTAACAGAACACCAGAACGCAATCAACAGACACGACCATAGCTCACTTCCAGCTAAACACACAGACGACAACGGACACAAATTCGACTGGTCTCAAACGAGATGCCTAGGACAAGCAACTAAACATGCCCGTGAGTTTAAAGAAGCGTGGCATAGTTTAGACAAACAAACATTTAACCGTCACATTGACATCCCTACAATTTACTTACAACTGAAACGCTCTCACAAATCTCCTAATTCATCTTCATTAACCTTTAACCCACCCTCAACTTCCTTCCCTATACCGTCTCATGATAACAATAATCACCCGCATTCGATAGTAACTAATGGCAACCAACATACTGAAATCCATCAACCAATCAGACGTTCTCACATGTATATATATATATATATATATATATATATATATATATATATATATATATATATATATATATATATATATATATATATATATATATATATATATTTAAAAAACTCATTAATAATTCATGAAGAAAACACAAAGAAAAATCATAAGCGTGTCGTATCTGTATATGTGATACAGATTCATGTTGATTTACATAAACTTCAACTTTGATTTTCTCGGCTTAGACAACGTTTATTTTTAAAATTACTTCGCCAATGAACTCATAAAATGAGTCGTTTTTTAAGTCATTTACAACATTCGCGTCCGTGTTGTATCGGATATACAAACTCTCGCCTTCGGCTCGAGTTTGTATATCCGATACAACACGGCCGCTCATGTTGTAAATAGTACATATATATATATATATATTCACCGGTTATTTGTGGACCGGCACGTGCATGACACGGTTTTGGCCAATCCGCAAACAGAAAAATTTAACTTTGACACTAACTATATAACAATTATCACTTATTTGCTGAGACCGATGGAAACAGTGTGTTTTGTGGACCTGAGAGCGCCGTTGTATTCATACTAGTGGGCATTCATACTAGTCGTGTGCGCATGCATTAGTATTCTGTATATAAAGAATACTAATAAGGCAATATATCTATTGAATTTGTAATCATGTTTGAAGCCGTTTAATAAACTGGCAGGTCGTGTTTTATTAGGTCTAAAGCCACTCGCGCTGCGCGCTCGTCACTTTAAACCTAATAAAACACTCCTGCTCGTTTATTAAACATTACATATATATATATATATACCTAGACCTTCGTATTTCTAGAACGGTGCTCTACCGTCTGAGCTACAAGGTCAAGCTGAGAGCGGCTTGTTAAGTTATGATGTTAGTTGCATTTCGGAGGTATACAGGGTGTATCAAAAAAAGCGCAATCCTCGACTGAAATGTAAATTGCTAAAAAAAATAATAGACGAAAACGTTAAAGTTTACATTCATTTTAAAGCACAGCCATTCAGCTTTCTAACAGTGCGTTGTTTCTTAAATTTGACTCATTGGTTCGCGGGTAATAATAATTTACGTTATTGCGATTGGAGATTAAAAAAATTGAGATGGAATAACAAATCGTTCTCATGAAAATAACTGATTTTTTCATTAAAACAAAAAAATGTTGCATCTTATTAAATGGATTGTAACAATAAATATAATTACGGCTTTTCTTCCACTATTTTTAACTCAGTTTGAAACTTCAAATGCGATATAATTTTGACTTGGACCATCTAAGCTGACTGACATCAACTTGCGGCTATAATTTCTGTTTACATTACATCGCAATTCGATGACACTCTGGCTCAGACACCAGAGTGTTTTGACGATTTTTAGCATTCGTTTAGAATTTTCAAACAACCTGGTCTCTTTTAAAATACTTTTAATTTGTTCTTACGTGGTTTTCCAGATGTAGTGACGACAACATTAAAGTTTAAAGAAGAAAATTCTAACATTTAAACCGACTATAAACAATAACATAGTAAACTTGCATAATTAAACAGCAACTAAAAATGATAGGTTTTACTAAATCTTTTCCTGTGCAATTATTACTAGCATTGGAGACAAGGATAATAGTTTGTTTGAAAGAGAAAAGAACAGGCTTTGAAGTAAGCCTAAAAGCGTTTAACTAGAAATAGTATTTCGAAAGTTATTAAGCACAAGAGATGAATTGCGTTTATTTTGATACACCCTGTAGTCCTTCAATACGTAAAGCTAGCTATTAGTCTGGTATTGTTGTATGTGAATGTTGTGGTTTCCCACGTTTACGATTCCACTCGTGTAACGTTATGTAGTGGTTTTTGAGTTGTTTTCATACGAGTGTATACCAAACGGCCGGGCAAGCTGAAAATTCTACTTGACCGCGGCTGGGATCCGAACCCGCGACCTTCGTATTTCTAGAACGATGCTCTACCGTATGAGCTACAAAGTCAAGCTGAGATCGACTTGTTAAGTTATGATGATATGGTTGCATTTCGGAGTACGCAATACGAAGATCGCTGGTTCGAATCCTAGCCGCGGTCAACTAGAATTTTCTGCAGAAAATTGCAACATGCTTGCCCGGTTTGATATCCACTCGTCTGAAAACAACTCAAGAACCACTACATATAAACGTTACACGAGTGGAATCGTAAACGTCGGAAACCACAATATTCAGGTCCAAATTTGCCACACTGATATCTGGCTTTACGCATTGAAAGACTAACTTCCAAAATGGAACTAACATCATAATTTAACAAGGCGCTCACAGTTTGACTTTGTAACTCAGATGGTAGAGCATCGTTCTATAAATACGAAGGTCGCGGGTTCGAACCCCGGCTGCAAGTTGCGAGTAGCGAGTGCTTGCGTGTGAGATGAAATGCGAGTACTCGCGAGTAGCGAGTCAGAACGAGTACTCGCTTTGACTCGCGCGTACTCGCGAGTACTCGGTACGCGCGAGTGGACGTACCCTTACTCGCGACAGGTACTGTACATGCAGGTATTGTAGCTACAAATAGTTGCCCGTATCGTTGTTCTTGTTTCTTATATGCGCGCAATCTCGTTGGGCCTATTCTGGGATCTTATGGCTCGCTTAAAGTCTTATTGTTACGGTTTCAGAAAGGCATCATAGAAAAACTGAATAACAACTCTTTTGTCCTATGTAAAAATTGAATTCAGCCTGTGAATTTCCATACCTTATTTTAGCCACCCTGTTGTTTCACAACCGTTTATTCAAGTTGCTCAGTAAATTGTTCATATTCATATATATTTATGGAATGGTTTGACATGTAATCCGGCCGAAGTATTTTTTGAAAATTGCTCAGGATTATATACAGTATGTCATTCTATATAGAATTTTTATTAACAAATTTTAAAAATAACTTTCTTTGCATTTTTTGAAGGATTTGTGTGCATTAGGCCTTGTCTTCAATACATACGTCTCTGCGATTGGTTATACTCTCATTTATTGTCTGGTTTCCCAGACCAAACCCGAGTATTCTAGCTACGCCGAATTTTCAGATAAAATTAAAACTAAAATGAGATTTGGGTGCAATGAGATTTTAATAATTTTCTAGTCGTGGAAGTGGAACGGATTTTGCAACAATGGTTTCATTATACATATATTTCTTGCCAACGTTAACACAAGTTGAAATCGATAGTGACAACCTTGGAAGACAATTCCGTGCTGGATTGATATCTTCTACAGAAGCCGACGTTCAAAAGTTGACATTGAGGAATAGATATGTTCTGGCGAAGAATAATCAGCCAACTCCAGCTGCAAATGTTGGTGAGTTCATGGAGAAAATATCATAGTTACAATAGTCACTCTCGAAAGAATGCTGGATTGAATGCTAGGAGATTGATTGCACAGTAAATTCTCTTTTCAGCCCGTAAAACCATTCAAAAACTTTAATTTGTAAGTTTGATTTCCAATTTTCTTCGAAATTGAACCAAAATTAAATCCATTAGTTCCACGAATTTCGTATCAAACTGATTGATTATTATGCAATACTCTTTGCTATAATGACCTTCTTCTTCCAAATTTTGTAGAGTGTTTTGTACTATTGATCAAAATAGGACCCAGAGCCATCGTTGGCTCTGTTGGATATGCATCTTGTATGAGAAATCTTAAACGATATATGTTCTGTCATGTTCACTGTAATGTACTATATTTTGTAGCTGACGTGAATGAGTGTTCATCTTCAACTCGCTGTGGTCCTGGTCAACGTTGTGTTAACTACGATGGAACATATCGCTGTTACTGTAACAGTGCTGCACAAATGATTTCTGAGTCTGGTCAATGTATAAGTAAGAACACGATTTTTTTTAATAATCATGAGGCACAAGTATAGTCTCGATTTTGGAGTAAATGGTTATTGAATTCCCTGGAAAGCTGTCCCGATTGAGATTAAGCTATATATCCCCCGAGAAGTTGGATAATTAAAACAATGCAAAGACTTACGCAGGTCTCTCTTAAGCAGACACCTTTTTAAGCGGTCACAAACCTCATATGCCAATGTTAATAAAACACTATTGTTATAACAACTATTTAACAGACATCTTCTTTACGGGGACACATCTCTAGGATACCAAATGTGCGCGGGATTCGACTATATTTTATAAACCCACTGCTATAGTTTCGGTCTTATTTACGAATTAATAATTATATACTGCAAAACCGTTTGCTAGTGATGAATACGTTGCGTTATTTGTTTTTCTTGCTGGTTTTCAATATTTGAAACGTGCGTCAAACTCACCAAACTTTATCTTAGTTTCGTAGCTATTTTTAACGTCTGACGTTTTCTTTCGTCAAATTGACATTTAATTGAAGCCAAGTGTACCATATTAATAATAATAATTTAATTAATATTTAAATATAGCGCTTAATCTATCAAGGAATATTCTAAAGCGCTGTACAATGATAAATTTACAATAATAACTAAAACTATACTCTAAAAAGCTGAGTATTAACAATTTATAGTTATCCTAAAAATTTAAAACAGTATATATATACACTAATAATTCTTAAAAATTAGTCTACTTATATGCCTTCCTAAATAGAAGTGTCTTTAAATGAGTTTTGAAACAGTTAACAGTTTCACACCGCCTAATGTTTAGTGGAAGAGAGTTCCAAATTAGAGGAGCAGCATGCTTAAATGATCTATCTCCAAGTGTTTTTGCATTTTTGGGGGGAATAATCTGCAGCAAAGAACAATCATCTGACCTGAAATGGTGATTCAGGCTTCAGGTTTACATGACAATAGATCACCAATGTACTGAGGTGTCATTGCATTGATATATTACTACTATTTTTTAGATGTTATAACATTTCAAGGAATTTTAATTATCACCAATCTCGGCACTTTTGATTCAGACCTTCTTATAATCAACAGTATTCATTGGCTACAGCTTGCATTATCACTCGAAAGTGCGGTAAGTCTTGTAATTGTACATGGAGGTGGGCAATCTTGGGTCGTGGGTACTTACCAAACCTGATATTTTGAAAAAAAAATCAATAAATTTGGATTGGCAAAGAAACCCTTACACGACATACGAGCAACAGAAATATGCGCACGTCCAAAGGTTGTTTGTGCCAGAGTGTTTCCGTTATTCGAGATATTGAATTCCGGATATCAAATTTTCGATATCCCGTTAGTGATGCCCGTGCTTTTTCTTTGCCATACGTTATTATTTTAAGAAATAGAAAATAAGTCGCGTACGCTTATGGTTTGATAATGCACGCAGTTAATGTAGGAAGAGTGTAAGACACGGGGCATAATCGAGTGTTTTACACGCTTCTCGAGTATTCTTTCAATATTCACCGAGTGCATTATCAGACCATCAACGCATGAGATATTACAGTATAATATAAATAGGAATATATTACATAGTAAACAATTTTACTCAAAAGAACAACTTTGAATTTCTTCTAACATGTACTCAGTGGCGTTTACATGCATGCTTTTACGGTCACGGACTACGAACCACAGTGCATTATTGCGTCACGATACATGCATGCGCATTAGCCAATCAAATTGTCTGTTGTATCCAACTTATATTATAATGTGGCGTAATAATATTGTACTTCAAATATTTCCATCCAAATCTGCGAGATTTATATCTATTTTCCAGTCTTAAATTAATTTATTTTTTATTAATTAATTAATTATATTTATAAAGTTGGGAGGGATCAATTGAAGCTGCTTTGGTAAACAGAGACCTCGAATTTGCGATGAAGAATGAGCACTTTATTTTGACTTGTCGTAGCTGGAAGGGATGTGTTTTCTGCTTTGCCAGCTGGTTGTGGGAATCACTGGTTTAGTCAGACGTATACATACCCTTTCTCATGGTGCTGGAACCTCGGCCGGTTTTCGAAAGACGACATTTTTCATTAGACTAACATCACTAAAAATTCAGCAACTTACAGTATAGCAACATCATCAATACATATTTAAACTGCCTTTTCTACCAACTTGTAAGCACTGACTTGGTAACATTTGGTATTTTGATAAAGTACGAAATAACGTTTAATTATAAGATTTGTTTACAACATTTCGACTAATATTTAGTCATCATTAAGAAAACTATAGTAAGAAAGAATGGTTTACTGGACTACTCATCTTATACAAATGAGTACAATTTGTTGTCTTTCTTGTCTTGGATTTAACATACCATTGTTGAACCCATCTTTATTGGCGTTGCCGTCTATCTGCAAAATCAAGCTACTGCTAAGTTTTAAAGTCATTTAGAGCAAAAAAGTTCAGGTCTCGTAGATTTTGACGATCTCCTACTTTTACTTGGATTGTAGATTAACGCGGCTTATGAAAGAAGCAACCTTGCCAGTAATTACAGACGCTCTCAAGTTACAGGTTTTAGGTAAGTTCATACGTTATTATTTAAATGTAATAATTCTTTTACTGGCCTTTGGGATCTTTTATTGAAATAAAATTAGCCTTTCAAGTTACAAACGTCGGTTGAATATTATAGACCATCATCAGTGCATAATACCTGGTGCAACTAACAGTTCTTGAAAACTATTTCCCCTTCACTTGTGGACCGTTGAATGGTAATTTGCGTATGCTCCACCATATATTCAATACTTATAAAGAGGCCATGCTCAAGCTTTATAAGCCTCACAGAATAGCAGCTTTTCCTGAAGAAAATCTTCAAATGCACTTTATGTCAAGTAATACGCTTACCTAATAATTACTTAGCCTAAACTATTTTATCTTTACAACAATTGTGATATTACTTTCTTAACTGTGTTTATCCTAACCCACCCTGTCAACTTTCCCCTTGGGAGGAAACCGGAACAACCGAAGAAAACCCACGACTTTCGGTAGAGCGTTGACAGACTCTTCTCCGTATCGAGAGTCGAACCCACGAACTCAGAGGTGAAAGGCGCATGCTTTGACGACTACGCCACCGAAGTCCCATGTACAATATCATTATTTACTTCTAGGGAAGGATCAGTGATTGCAACATACGTAGCTACATTTGATCCAGCAAGTAATGAAACGATTTCAAATGTCCAAGCGGCCATACAACCTCAACTTGGCGAGAACGTTAATGGAACTTTCCTTGGGCAATTTCGACTATCCGGAACCAGGCAGACTGCAGTAACCTATCAAGGTAAGTCGATCTTCTCATTTCGTAACGAGAAACTGTCGTCCTATAAGCATATACAGCTATTTTAATTAAGGTTGTCATAGTTGTATATTCCAAGCGCGAACAGTAAGACGAGTGTTCCAAATTTTAATATTTTTAGCCGAGCATTTTATATCTGCTAAAACACGACAACGAGTGTACTCCAATACACGACGACGAGTGGACTACAAAAGCATACTCATTAGGATGAACAATTATATAATCATACTAATTACGATGAACAATTATATAAAGAGTACTAATGAAGATGAGTTTTATCAGATATAAAGTCACTCCAGGTGACATATTACGGCTGACATGATTTGTCACAAGGTTTATGAATTATTAATGAGTTCTGCTGTGTTGGTGTAATGTACTCAGGTGAATAAGATGTTTGTGAATGTTACTCTGAGTGTATATCCACAGCGGGCAGGCTTGAAAATTATGGGATCCCACCGTGGCCAGGCATAATTTTCAAGCCTGCCCGCTGTGGATATACACTCAGAGTAACATCACACAAACATATTAATGAGTATTTTAAGTTTTATTGAACCATAGCCTATCGAAGGGAAGATGGTTGTGAAACTCATTAGAATAACAATAATTATATAACTCATTATCTAAGTTAGTCAACGTTTATTCATAAATCTGGTCCTTCACCATCACGTGTGTATTGTATTTTTGCCTAACTAATCAATAGCAATGTTTTACGAAAGTTTATACCTATCCGTGACTCGAACAATAGGGTAAAAATATTGGCAAAAATACAATATATGCACACGTGACCGTGAAGGACCAGATATACGAATAAACGTTGACTAACATGGATAATTAGTTTTGGTATAAATCTTGCATATCAAATTAGCTTTCGCGCGTTCTGATTGGCTAGTTGACTAGTAAATCGGACGCATTATTTACCACCAGACTATAGTAAATAATGCTTTTCAAAAAGAATGATTCGGCAAAGTTGGTTTCAAAATCGACGAAATATTGAAAAAATCGTCCCCACAGAAAGAAAAAAGCCCAAAATGTTCTATTTAACGTGGAAGGTATGATGCGTTTGTTATTTTACTGTGTCAAACATTTTCGCGAACAATTTAAAACTCAGAAACTTATGTAACGTTTACTTCAAACAAATAGAAAAATAGGTACGCGACCGCGTACATGTATCTGCGCATTAAAGGTCCAGACACGCTGGACGCGATTCGACAACGCGACGCGATTTTTCGATTTTCACTGACCGTTAAATTTAATCCAAGTTTATATTTTCCAAATATTTAGAAGCGCTATAACATTCTAAGTTACTTGGTCTACATATGTTTGTAACTGATTTGCTCTCATTGGCTGTTTTTCAAACTAATTATACTGAAAAATCGCGTCGCGTTGTCGAAGCGCGTCCGGTGTGTCTGAATCTTAAGGTCTGATTCCACGACGGCGAAATTCGTCGCGAGAGCTTGTGCCTGCAAAATACGGTGGTTGCACATGAGCGATTGTATTGAATTGTCCCACTTTGTCCGCTTTCGCAGTAAGTAGAAATGTTTCGCATTCATTGATGGTGCATTCTCGAAATGACATTTTTACAGCAATTGTGCGAAATTGTGCTAGTTGAAATTATATGCCTGCTTCAGATATAATATTTACATTTAACTAGTGACTTCTAAATTAAGAGGACGAGAACCATTTATATCCCGAATCACGGCAACTGATAACAATCATACAAAAATGTTTCTTTTTATCTGGAGCTAAATATCTGCTATTCATACAGTTCATTACTTTTAAGAACAATTTAAAGAAAATAATTAATTAAGGCTGTAAAATGTGTGGATTTATTAAAGACGTGGGATTAGACGTCTGTACATGGAGTCATGAGCTAATAATAGTTTCTGACATTTAAAACAACAGGGCTACGTTTATCCTATGCTTTGTTTTCATAGTTTAGCCTAGTTTCAGAGGCCTCCATTAAATAACAGTCAAGATATATACGCAAATATAATTTGCGTGTCTATTTAAAATTTGTAATTGTTTCGTGAAGATTCAACCATAAAACAATTGCCGGAAATGCAGGTCCTGTTTATAAAAACTCAGGGAAAACCCGTGCGGTATGAAATGCATGGCGTAAACATGTCAATCAAATATCTATAAATATGACGTTTTATAATTGCACAGTACATCGTGTACGTTCTTGTTGTAGAACTTGTGTTGCTCCAAATCGAGTATGAAGTAAAATCAGGAGCATACTGTCACAGGCTAATTTTGTATTTTAATACCTCTGGAAATATCAAGGCTTTGGTACCCCTATCTATCACAAAACTGAGTAACAAATCCAAAACGAAGTATGAGGACTAATATTTTTATATATATCATTTCACAGATTAAAAGTATTATTCAAGAAATATGTCCATTTTGATCTTAACGTGATACAAAAATACTAAATAACATGCAAAATTCAGTGCCAAAGAGGGATTTATTTTGCGGTAGTTAAATATGTAAACATATGTTCTCAAACTGGCAGAGTTTAATACCAATTAAAGCTCGCAATGCTATATATTTGGTTTGATACGAAGATAAAATAGTAAATACTCATAATAATTACAATATGTCCATGACCTTACTCAAAAATTTAGATTATTAAATCACATAATGGAACAACTTGCAATTTGCTACGCTCACTCGTTAGCAATAGTTCTCTTCAACACTCGAAATAAATTACATATTTCCGCACAACCATGTATAAATATCCTCTATACATTCCAGTTTACCTTTAATTTGTCAAGTGGTAGGCACAATATTAGTCCTTTTGATTTGTTATTCCCTTTCCCCAACACGGGAGTGATAGGAGCTTGAAAAAATGACAGTTGAATACTTGCGTGTAATTTGCTCGGAGCAATTTGCAATCAACATTGCAAGATTGATTGCAATGTTGCAATACTCATGGGAACAGAACATCCGGTTTGACTGTAAGAGTTATATCAAAAAGACTGCTATAGAAGAAGATTTTATCAAAATAAAGTCAGGATAAAGTCTATTAATAGTTTAATACCACGATTACTAATGATTACTACTCTTGAAAGCTTTTCGAAAGACGCCATCTTGTTTTAAAGCTGTTCTAGCCTGCAAACAGGCCTTCAAAACAAGGTTGACGGACTTAACAACTTAACTTAACTTACTTAACTTTACTTT